CCCGTTGTTCTCTCCTCTGGCTTGTTTATTCTGCCTATCCCTTCCAGGTAGACATGCTATGTACCATCACAAGACTGAGTACAACTAAGCAACAACAGAAAGTAAAACAATAGCTACAACAACACACACACACATACTTATAAAAACGTCTGAATAGTTCAGGGTCTGTTTGTTTCCCTTCACGAATGCTTTCCAGTCAAGTCTGATGGGGTGCCATGCCCTGGCACCGCCTCTATCCCTGGCGATTTCATTGCTCTGTTCCCTCTGCTGCTCTGCTGCATGCCTCCAGAGGCTGGCTTTGGCGTGGTGAGCTTAGGGCGGGTACAATTCCTGCTGTGTGTCTCTAGTGTTGCCCTCAATGGTGCTATGAGTCAATGAGGAACGCTGTGTCCTTGGTGGGGCCCGCCCTGTGGTCATCTCTGTGCATTCCTGTTCTGAGCAGGAACATTGTCTTCAGGGCATGGTGAGCCAGGATGTGCTTCCCTCTTTTGTTTTCCCTTCCCCCCTCGTTGGCTCCTGTGTGCTCTGACCAGACCAGTCCCTCTTCCTGAGCTGTAGCTTCACTGCTGTCCTCTGAAGGGAATTCTTCTAGTGGGGAAGGTGATGCTGTACACTTAGTTGGTAATGGGGCCGACCCCTCAAGCCTCTCTATGGGTTCCCTGCTTCATGTCAGTGTGTTGCATTCTTGTCTTGGATCTCGGGGTTGAAGTCTCGTCCCTCTTTCCCTATGGAGACACAATCAACACCCTCCTCCTGTGTGGGTTAGTGCCCTGTTCCCCCAGCTACCCATACCTCCCCCCCACTTTTAATGGGCTACCATATGTATCCTATATGTTGCTCTCTGTTTAGTCTGGCCCCTGCCATATTACCTGGACCTCACCCCAGGGACTTATGTATACAGCATCTTCTTCCCTATGCTCCTTTTGATTTTTTTTGAGCTTACCTCAGCGGACGCATGTAGTACTTGACACCCAATTTAATTCCCTAGATACCTCAAGATGTGCTCCCCTGATGAGATTGTCGTGGGTGGTCATCTTTTCTGCTGTTCTGACTCCTGCCATCTGTATATCTTAGTATATTTCTATAAGATTTTATTTGTAGTCAGAGCATTTTGTTCTCAACATTTCTAGTTGTTCTGTGTTCCTGATGGAACATTGGCAGTTAACAATGGTGAGGTAAAAGTGCCGGATCCTGCCGGTGAGTTGAACAGTCCTGAAAGGGGGAGTGAGGATTAAGGAAAAAAGAGAGACAGAAAGTATTGGGGCCCCAAGTTTATTCCATATCCTTTTTTTATACATGTAGAAACAACCCGGAGCTATAATTACCTCATTGTTAAACAAGCATACTTGATACACATCATCAACTTCGTGTTCGGCTAAGTCAAGCATTCTTAAGAAAATTTCACATCTTGCTCCCGGACTTGCGTACTTCCTTGTACTTGTTCTAAATGGCCTGTCCAAATGCCAAACCGCAGAGGAGAACAGCACGTAGTTTATGAGAAATCTTAATCATTTCAAGACTAGGGTGCAGATGGCCTCCAACACAAAAGGAATCAACAAAAACGGGTTTTATTGCATACCTTATGTTCTCGAGTATAAGCCTATCCAACTATCAGCTGAGGCACCTAGTTTCACCACAAAAACTGCATAAAAAAATGTGCTGAAAAACTCAACTTGTACACGAGTTTATAGGGTATCTATTTACAATACTTGGGAAAGTGGGTAAGAAATCTCATGATACTTTGTTTACCTGCCACATTTTTTACTCTGCTCTTTCACTTCCAAACAAGCATCTTTTGTCATATAGCACAGCTTTGGGGAGTTTTTTGATACCCCCTGCTGAATACAACCTCTGTATAAAATCAGTTATTATTATAGATTCTGTCTCAAGAAAAGTGTGCACGCACACACACCCCAGCAGCTGTATATACATATTTCTTAGAAATAGCCCTTTTGTTTCTTTCAAAGTAATTGTTCTGTGCCATCAAGTTCTGGTGCATAGCAAGCCCTGTGCACAACAGAACAAAACTGTACCTGGTCCTGCCACAGCCTCACAATTCTTACTATATGTTTGAGCCCATTGTTGCAGCTTCTGTGCTAATCTGTCTCCTAAAGGGTTTTTCTCATTTTCATCGCCCTTGTACTTTACCAAGAATGATGTCCTTTCCCAGGGACTTGTCTCCTGATGGCCTATGCTAGCAAATGTTATTGTCTTCATTTTTCAGAGCTGACATGATACATGCAAAAATTCTATTTATAGATTTCAGATTAAAGCAATATTTTCAATTATAGCATCATAAAATTTTAAGCAACATTACCAAGTATTTATACATGTCTATGTGTTGTGTGTGTTTGTGCATGTACACACACACACAGACATTTTTATTTTACGTAAACTTTTATTATACGCTAAAAATATTTGTTATTCAAATAACTTTTTATCCATTATTAACAACATTTAAATAATGGTTTGGTTCATGAGTTCTAAACAAACTGCACAGTGATTATATTTGTAATCAGTGTTAGATGTATTCCATGACAGTAGTTGGGGTAAACACATTGTGG